TATGACGAATAAATTATGCGTAAAAGGTAACTTCGCTTAGACTTTGTCTTATCGTTTTTGTTGTTACTGTAATTTAAGTAAAAAATTTGGGAAGAAAACGGGATTTTTTCATGAGATGGAGTTGATGAAATTTAATTTGCAAAAGTTGTTAGTGTGGTTGTTGAAACGTACATAGGTATGTGTATCGTTGGGTATCGCTACCTTTTTAAATCTTTTTTGTTGAGTCCTGCGTTTTTTTTGCTTTTTTTTGTTTTTTTGTCTTTGGCTGATGTTTTGCGATGGGTTTTTTTTGGTCTGTTTGCTTTCTTTAACTTTCAAATAATTAGCTGATTGTTGTGGAAGGAAGTGGAGCGGAGACAGTCTCGCTGAGGTTGTTCAGTTCAGTTAAGCGGTTGACATTATTGAATTGCTGAAGTCCATTTTTAACATATATTAAAACGAATCAATGTGGAATGTGTGTGAATTTTTGTGTAGTAACTTTTTCTCCTCTCTCTCCTCTGTGAATTAATTTTTTTTTGTGGCTGTATAGCCAGTACAGTGGTTAACAGCAGCCAAAATGTTTAGTTGTCATTACAAAAATAAGAAACAAAAAGCGTTGAATAGGTTGGAGAGAGGGAAAGAGAAGAGAGGCTTTAGTTTCTTTGCAAAATACGCATCAACAAGTCCTTAGCATACACGGTTGGATTAGCTCAAAAAAAAAAACTAAAGAAAAAAATTTTTTTTGGAGATCAAAGATTATTTCTTTTGCTGTCCTCGTTGTTGTTGCATTTTGTTGTCTTTTTGGTGTTGCTGATGTTGTTGCTGGTGGTGCTGGTGATGGCGATAGTGCTCGTGCTGGTGGTGTTGCTGTCGGTGATGCTGGTGGTGCTTTTGCTGCTTGTGGTGGTGGTGATGCTGATGCTGATGCTGTTCCCGTTGCTGTTACTTTTGCCGTGATGATGAACGACGACGATAAACAGAAAAAATTTATATTTGTATTGGCAGTTACGGCAATATGAAAACTCCGCTGACCTTCCTCATCGTTGTCATCGTCATCATCATCTTCACCTTCTTTTTTGTCTTCGTCCTCGTCGTTGTTGTTGTTGCTATTGTTTTCATATTCATCTTCTTCCAGTTAGGCTGCTTTAGTTTTATGAGTTCATTTGACTTTTCTTTCACTCAAATATTTCGGGAAAGTACTGCACTGTTAAACTTTAACAGTGCTTCAATGAAGGCACAAAAAAAATAAATAAGAAATAAAAATAAAAGAAAAGAAAAAACAAGAAACGAGGAAGATGGGACAAGAAGAGCAGAGGTAAGGAAAAGGGAAAAAGCAATAAAAATCATGCGCAAAATTTCTCGTTTTACTTTATCATTTTCTTTTTTTTCATCGTTTTTTTTTTTTTTTTCAACTGTTGTTTATGGATCAGCGCTCATATTTTTTGCATGAGCTAATGCGCTGTTTTTCTCAAGATGACATTAACAATATGAAAACCATTGAAGGAATCAATTGTGTAAAGATGTAAACAGTCGGTGGGAGACGGGAAAAAAGTGTGCATTTTCGGTTTATTTTAAGTTGATATTATGGACATCTGATGGTTACAAACAGTTTTGTAAAATAGAAGCTTTTTTAGCTATAACTCTTTTTGGAGCAAAATGAAGTTTTTTTAAAGGTACTGAAGTTTAAGTTTTTGCTGTTTTTATAGTTTTATAAATTTTAGTGGCTTGAGATAAATTAATTTTTTGGCTTTTTTTTTTTTTCACTTCTCTACTTCCTTAACCTCTTTTTCTTCGTCTGTTTGCAGTTTAAAGTCGTGCCATATATCAGGAACGTCTTCTGTTCACCTGACATCTGCAGACTTTTTCGTTCAGTGTATAACCGATGTTTCACCGCGGCTGATACTGACCGCAGCCTTACTTTGGCAGAAGCATTAGCCAGCTAATTAACCATTTAACTGTTAAACTTTCTAGGTGAATAACAGCGACCTTAAGAGCATTTTCATCTTGTCAGTATTTTTTGGCGTTTATTGTTCGAGGATTTTGCTATACTACTAAGTGCAATCAGCGGTGTATAGATGTTTAGTATTAGCTTTGACTGAGGTGTTTGTTTGAAGGACAAAGAAGAGGTTGAGATCGAATTTGTTTGCTTGAGCTTTTTTGATTTTTGTTCTATCGTGGAAATTGTAAAAAGAGTTGTAAAGTGTTCAAAATTTTTATCTATTTGTGTTTATTCTTGTTAAGTTAGCTATTTGAGCTATTTTTCTTTTATTTAAGTTCCAAAAATGATTAGTTTTTTTTTTGAGGTTTTTTTTGGGTTTTTTAGCGCAGTTATTCGCTTTCATTATTTTCTTACCGTAAACATGCCGACAGAAGAACAATAGACGAGAGAGGAGAAGAAAAAGCGAAGAGGTGAAGGAAGGGAATTCGGAGGTGGAGTGGTTGTGATTTGGTTGTTTAAACAGTTTAATCAGTCAGAAATATACAGCTTTTGAAGTTTGAAGTTCGTTTCCTAAAATCGTTTAGTCAGCAACTATTTTGCTTTTATAAATCGCTTAAAACTTTTGCAATTTTTTCTGTCATATTTTTTGTCTTTCTTTTTTTTGCTTTGAACAGTTATCATAATATGATCGATAAGATTTGTACGGTGAATAATTCAGATAAATATTTGAGAAAAGAGCAGAGAAACGGAAAAAATTTTATTTTTTTCTTCTTTTTTGGAAGTTAATTATTGTGGACAGTATACGTTGAGTGTCTATCGTTGACACTATTATAATCTTGGTCAACAGATCTGTTACTGTTGTTGTTTAGTTGATGGTTAATTGGTGGGAGTTCTCGGTGGAGATGGGACAAAAGTTGGCGGATAGGATGGATATAGAAGAAGATGAGTTGAAGTGGGGGAAAAAAAGGAAGAAATAATTATTTTATGATTAAAATATCAGAATATTTGTTTTAGGCAGTAAGTCAATAGACAATAATATTGAATTTTTTTTCCAAAAATAGTTGTTGGTAATTTTAAGCTTTTTGTTCAGCTTTTACTATTTTCGGTCGATAGTTCCTTTTTTTTTTTTT